TGTCGAGGACAACATTTTTTTAAGGGGGGAAGATTGTGACGCCCAGAAAAAAATAGGGTTTTCATTTTTTTTGTATATTTTGTTGGACGAGCGGAGTAATACAGTTTTCAACTCGGAAAAGAAAAGAAAAGTTTCAAAAAATGGCAGTGGCCAAATCCGGCCTGAAATCCGGCCAGTTTCTGGCCGGATTGCCGTGCAGTTTTGAAAAAATTTTGATCAGCCTCGGCCTTGTATCCGGTCGGATTGTGACGTGTCACAGCCGGTCAGAAGGTTTGACCGGCTGTTTCTTTCATAAATATCTTGTTTTGGTTGGCTTTTGTCTTTATTTTTGCTGCTGCTCAACCGAGGCCTTTGGGGAAGAAAACCTCTTCATTTTTTCCAACTTCAATTTCTACCAAAATCTTGTGATTTCACCGATGGTTTTGGAAGCTACTTCACACAAGGGTGCACTATGGTCGTTTAAAGCTTTTGATGGATTGGTTTTGAAGGGGAAGCTTTAGTTTGATAGCTCTCTTGAATTTGAGGTAAGTTGGTTATACAAGTTTCTTTTGTTCTAGTATTGGTTAATTAATGGTTTGTAGTGGCCATGTGTGGTATTTCATGGGTTGAAGGAAGTTGTGGTGAATTTCTGATTTATTGGGTATTTTTCTAATTTAATATGATTCTGGTTAGTTGGTCTTGAATTGATGGATTGTTATGGTGTTAAATGGACTCTTGATACGTTAATTGCGGAAAATTTCCGCCTATGGTATAATTTTCAATTTCTAGGGTTTCATTTGGGGAATTTTCTGGTTATATATTATAATCATGGATTGGCCTTGAATTGATAGCTCTAAATGGTGTAAAAATGGAGCTTGTATACGTTGGATACGATTGTGCGGAAAATTTCTGATTTGTGGGGTGAATTTCCGGTTTCTAGGGTTTCGATTTGGGAATTTTCAATGGTTGGCTTATAAGCTTCTAATTGGCTTGATTGAGGGGTATTGTGGCCCTAATTGAGTATATTTACTAGCCGATAAATTGTAGGTAAAAATGGAGTTGAATTGAGATATATTTGGTATTAAATGGTAGGTTGGAAATGTGTTAAATTAAGGGGTAATGCTGTCCCATTTTTGGAGGGTATTTGATTGATTTGAATTTGAGTGATCTTGATTCATTTTATGGCAATTTTTGTGAATTGGAAGTTGGACTGTTAAGAGTCCATATTAGTGACGTTTCTAAACTTTGTTTAAGTTAATTCATCCTTGTTTTGGCCTGTACATGATTAGTATAGACTAGTCTCATGTTAAGTGGGGATTTCTAGCCCTAATTGTGATTAGTGATGGTCATATGCAAAGGTCGGTTCAAGAAGAGTAATTTCAGTTTTTTTCCCTGTTTCTGGACTGAACTTGGACTGCCATTTTCTCTGTACTGCAGACCGAATCAACTTTTGTTCAAAACATGAAACTTGTAGATATATGAGTTAACTACCTACCTACAAAATTTCAGATTGTTTGGATCTCTGTAGCCTGTGAAATGATTGAATTACCCCTGACTATTCATAGACCCTGTTTTGCGGACAGTTTTCTGTCCTCTCCTAGATTTCGATATTTGACCCTGGAATTGTACGTTTTGACTTTGGAAGTCTTCATAAGAAATGTTGGTATATGTCTTAGCTTCGTAACGCCATAAGATTCGTTTTGATCGGATAAGCGTAGCTTTACTTGTGATTAAAATGCCAAAAGGCAATAGAAGCTTGTTAATATTAGAATTTCCTTTGCTTGACTTGATATTTGTAATTTAGGGCTTCGACTTGAGCAAGGCCATGAGGTACGATGGATGGTTCCTGAGCTGTGTTTGGGTGAGTGATCTCTCAACTATTTCCCAACAGTGATTTTGAAATAATTCCTGCATTGATTACACGATTGCATATCATTGTGTTTGTGTGTGTGCCATGACATTTTGGCTCCGATGAGTTCTTGGGAAAATCTTGTGCTTAGAACCAACGTCTCCCCTCCTGTATACGCATTCTTTGGAGCTCGATGGCTCCTTATTTCTGGTTAATTGGTACTTGATCTAAGGGAGCGTTGGATATTTAAGTACAAGGATTTCACTGGCTCCAAAGAGCAAAATACGCATCTTGGATCACTGATTCATGACATCATTTACATGCATTATTGTAAAGTTTATTTGATTACTGAGTTTAATGTTCACTCGCTGAGCTTTTAGCTTACCCCAAATGGTTTTCTTTTCCCCAGAGGGATCGAGGCAAAGGAAACGCTTGTATTACGTTATATGTATGACCGGATGACATGTAACTTATATAGTTTAGATTTGGATTCGTTTGTGTAATTGTTGGGTTAGGGTGACTGTTTGAAATTGGAATGGATGGATTATACCTTGTACGGTTTGAATTTGGATTGCCTCTTGTGTAATAGCTTAGTAATAGGGTTTGTAATGAATGATTGGACTTGAATGGATGTACGTGTACATTCCGCTGCGTTTGTGATATGTAATTCTTGGAGAATTTGATGTATATATTTGAGATTTATGTTGTAGTTTATTGGAGAACTATAGTGATTGATCGAGTCCTGGCGAGAGTTAGGTAGGCGGCCCGGCGAACCCTCTGGTTCGCCTTAGGGGGAGGTGGGGTCGTCACATATTTCTTATCTTATCTTATAAGATATAAGACCGTGTTTAGGACCAGTGTCAACTGCTTGTTTGTAGGGTTGTTTTTGTGATACGAAATGGAAAATTAGCAATACCCTTCATGTATCAATCAAAGTTCAATACTGATTTTGAAACTTTAAGATGTTCTAATCTGAGTTTTTGATTCAAGTGAAGAAGTTTGAGAGCTAGCGCGAGTTCTTGAAGGTCACAGTTGGTTGGTTTAATTGTTTGGCAAGTTAGGTTATTTGGGGTTTAATCGTCAATTTTCCTTGCTAATTTAGTTGTTTATTTACCTTAATTACTTCGGCGAAGTTGTGTCAATTGGAAGGCCGACTTCTTTAGTGTTAGTTTAGGAAAATAAGTGATTCCAAATCACATTAGGTTTTCTAGACAATTCTAAATTACATTAGGTTTTGAGTCCATGTAAGGCTATAAATAGCCAAACACTTTCATCATTTGAGTAGTTTGAATATATCAGAATTTTGTGTGTTAAACACCTTTTCTCTTGTCCAAGAGAGTTTCTTTTGAATACTTGAGAATTACTTGAGAGTATTCAACTACCTTATCAATCAAGTATACACCTTGGTTGTGGCGCTCTTCTACCTTTAACATTGGTTCACTAAATCATTCGATTATGGGTTGAAATTCAATTCAAGACTCTCAATTCTAGGGTTCATAATGAACTCGTATCCCACACAGTCTGGATTGCGAACCTTCTAAACCCTAGGATTACGAACCTTGTATCAAATTCAAAACATCTCAATTACATTTTCTCACCTCGTATCACCCAACTCACCCCTTCCTCTTAACTCTTATTATAATGTTAAACAACTAAGGTATCTGAATTTATTTTTTCAGCAAAAATAGAAAGGCAGCAATGCCATTTTAGTCATTCCTAGATAAATTACTTTTCCAATATTTGATCAGCCTTCATGGGGCAATGCATTGCTCTTAAGCTTTAGAGTGGTACATGTGATTATTTCGCAAGTTTAGGAGGTAAACCATAATTAATCCTAAATCATTTTTTACCAGATATGCAAATCATTACGTTCATTAGCAAAAAAAAAGAACCCAAATATATTTGTCTTTACACCATAAAATCTAAGGATTTTAGTAGGATCACAAACATTGTAATTTTGTAAGTTACAAACATATGTAAAACGCTCTTAATCATTGCTTGTATCGACTAAGGTTTTAAAGATTTGTAAAAGAGTATAAAAAATTAGGACAAATCTTTCATGCCCTGATAATGTATACACTAACGGGTCTAAATGTATGCTACATATACAAAAATTTGATGTTCAATTCAAATTGAAATGATATGTCATGCATCCAAACCCATTAATATATATGTTGATAGCATAAAAAAGATTAATTCTAAAAAGTAGGGGTTGAAATGTCTAAAATATAGGGATAAAAAGATGAAATAGCGGTGAACTTGAGAAAAATAGTGATTAAAAGTAGTTGTCAAAATCAATTTTTAAAATCATAGCATCTACAACATCCCTATTCCCCAACATCTAAATCCAACAATCCCAAAACTTTCCCTTCAGATCAATTTTACTACCAAATAGAGTTCCCACAACTAGTTCGAATACAAAGATAAAAGAGTGAGATGAGTGGTAAAGTATGAGAAATTGCAAATAAAAAATCCTAGATTCAAAACCTTCCATTTATAAGGGGGGAGGGAGGGGGTGAGAGGGGGAGAGAGAGAGAGAGGGATTAATTATCTTTTAGTCCCCTGTAGTTTAGTGCTTTACCCCATAGTCTCCTCATGGTTTAAAAATGTATATATAAACTTCTCACAATTTGGGTTGAAGTATCACCATTATTTTTCTGTTAAAACTAACGATCAATAGTAAAAAACTAAAATCAAACTAATAAATTGACAAATTCACCAAATACAAAAGAGATAGAGGGGAAATAAAAAATAAATACATAAGAAACAAAAAAAGATAAAGTAGAAATATAAAACAAATAAATAAGAAATGAAAAATACCAATTCTTTTTTGACTACCAATATCATTATAGGTTTCTAAACCAAATCTTTAATGGTATTTTCTATTTCTTAGTTATCTATTTTTATTTCAATTTCTTCATTTTTATGTTTGAAAGAAAAAAGGCAGTAATGAAAGGGTAAATTTATCAATTTATTAGTTTGATTTTGATTTTTTATTATTAACCCAAACTATGAGAGATTTATATATAAGTTTTTAAAATATGGGGGTTATATAGTAAAATACTAAACTACAAATAGTAAAAGGAATTTACCCAAAATAATTTAAAAAAAAGAACGAAAAAGAATTGTGACATGCTTAAATCATCAAATACTACTTTCCATATATGACTTATCACGTTAAAACGAGAATCTCTAATGTGTGGAAATGAACTCAATGCCATTTTCCCTTCGGACTTGCACCACTCCCATAAACCGCTACATCCTTACATCCACTCCCAGATTAGTAGTCAATCAGAATTTGCGCAACGCTGAATCTTCTGTTATAAAGTTTTCGAGCAACCGAAACAGTAGTTTCGATGCAAATTCAAAAGAACCGAGCATAAGCTCAGGTATATGCAGCAGAAGAGGAGCAATTGGCATTGGTCTTTGCTTCAGTTTGGTTGAGTTCATCCTACAGCCGGAACCAACTGCTGCTGCAGAAGCCACCCCCTGTGAATTCACTGAAACCCCTTCAGGACTTGCATTCTGTGACAAGGTTTCGGGCGACGGCCCTCAAGCTGAAAAGGGACAACTCATTAAGGTAAGTTCAAGATTGTTGATGAATATTCCATCAATAAAGTCATGTACAGAGTCAAATTCTGTTTTACTGGTAGTTTTCTGAACCCAGTAATCTTCTTATTTCTGTTTCTTAGTTTGGCTGCTTATCTGTTGTTGTTAATTGACTGAGTTGATTGTTCGAAAATTGGTGAGTGTTTTAGAATGCTTTTGAGGATTTTAAGTGTTAGACTATCAATTTTGTAATTTCCAGTCACCTTAATTCATCAAAGAAAAGGAAATGTACACCAGTTGGGAAGTGTAGTTAGAAATCCCTTTGGAAAATTAAGAAAAGGGTTTTGAAGAATTGTTAAAATCTTTCTGCTCAATTTGATTCCTTTCCACTTGTACTGAAAGAATTGTTTTCAACAAGAGTAAAGAAATACTCTAAAACCAATTGATAAGAATAGAACAGAATGGCTTAGATGCTGCACAGATGATTTCTTGAATGTTGAAAATGATTTTATCGAATTCTATTCGGTGAATAAAAATAGTAAAGAGACGGTGAAGAGATTGATTTTTTGCTGTTGATGCCTTTCATGCCGGGGTAACATGTCAAATCACCAATGCTTCGAGAAAATGATGCACCATACGCACTAAAGTGGTTAATGTGACCAACTTTCTACAAGTTTCTTACTAACGAAATTTATGCAGGCACATTACACAGGGAAATTGGTGAATGGGACAGTCTTTGATAGCAGTTACAATCGGGGAAAGCCTCTTACATTTCGTGTTGGTGTTGGTGAGGTAAGTACATATTCACAGATTCCGATGGTCATGGGGATCACAGAACTGTTTCTCTTTAATTGTATGCTTATAACAGTATAAAACTTGACTGTTAGTTATAGTGGTTATCATTGATTAGCAAAATTAGTTAAGAATCTACCACTTACTTTAAACAGTGCTAAGGGAGAACCAGAACTAACTTAACATATAAAACTGCCAGGACATTTTAAGCGATCTTAGATAGAACTAGCTCCACGTGGTCCTCAGCTTGCTGGTTTCCAAATAACTTGTTATGGTAATGTTCTACTCCTAAACTTGTACAAGCAAAGGTTGATAAGGTTATGATAACCGATGAACTTGCTAGAAGTACATAATCAACCAATTATGGGTTCGACTACTTTTTCAGCTTGAGTCCTTCAGGCCACTTATTACATCAAGATTTGACTGAGGTTTTAGGTTATTCTTGATAAATGAGATCATACCACAAAATGCAGAAGGTTAGCCATGGTCCTTCCTTCAAGTGATATGGCTGTATGACAATAGCTAAATTGGGACTTGAGGTTGCACTTGAGTTTTTTCAAACAAAAAGTTGCAGTTTTTATATATTAAGCCACGTAGTCCTACCGGTTTCCTAGCATTATCTAGCCAGATAGAAGGCTGAAAATGTACTTATAAATTGGTGTCAAAGAAGAACTACTTATAAAATTTTGGAGGGTGTGTTTATTGTAAAGCCACCCGAACTTAAATTCTGAACTTAAAATCAGCTTCTGCTCAGTTAAATTGGTGTGATGTGTATTCAGTATTTTATGAATCCATACAGATCAGTTTGCAAACAGGTCCAAGTTACACTGCCATTCATTCAACTTGAACTGCAGACTTAACTCAGAACGAATAAACTGTTGAACTCTGAAATGGAAATTGAGTTAATATTCAGGGACAAATGCATTTCCATTTTGTCTTCCACTCTTCCTTCTACAGCATCTGTATGTTGTGTGAGGTTCTGTACTGCTGTGGTACTAGTTCTAACTTGTTTTTGACACAGACCTGGAGCTGCACTTCATGGTATCCATAAGAGATACCCGAATGTAATACCCAACTATCAGTCAAAATTTTTGGACACCATGTCATTAAGCTGTATATTGTGCATTTTCTTATTATACAAGGGAGGGGATGGGGTAAGGAAGACTTGCATTTATCTTGCTGGTAATCTCATAAATACAGTATACTTGAGGACACATTGACAAAGAAAAGAAATTACTGTGATTTTGGTTTTTTTTTATCTAACATGGCAATTAAGGAAGACTTGTATTTATCTTGCTGGTAATCTCATAAATACAGTATACTTGAGGACACATTGACAAAGAAAAGAAATTACTGTGATTTTGGTTTTTTTTATCTAACATGGCAATCTCTAATTTTTACAATATGTTCTTAAAACTGTTCTAAACAAAAAACCATAACAATAGAGTCCTAGCTTTGAAAGCTCTGCAGTCTTCATTTACTCATTCAACTCTAGGTCGTTCCTGGAAAACATTAAGTATTACATCAACTTTTGATGCCACTCAAGTATTTTCAATCTAAAATAGCTCATCTATGTTGATCAACCTTGTTATCACATCCTTTGCCTTGAGTTCTCTTGCCAAATCAGTAACAAGGGACTGATTAAGATAAACATATTTTATGGGCCTGCAAAATGCATGCCCCAGGATTTTGTAGGGGCAACAAATTAAGATGCCTTTTACTATAACTGGAGGCTAACTTTCAGCCAGAATATCTTGGCTTCCCTTTTTTCCGAGGAGATTATTAAACTCCCTTAGTTGCTCGTGTCAGTGACTCTTTGAATTTACACATGTAACAGTCTTACTGATTATCAGAAATAACTGGATGCTGATCACAAACATGTTCCTTTCTGATGCTCATCTAGTTGACATGAAATCCATTCTCTATGTTAATTTAGGTAATCAAAGGCTGGGATCAGGGCATTCTAGGTGGTGATGGGGTTCCCCCGATGTTGACTGGTATGAATACAGTTACTCTGGTACTGTTGTCCAATATATCAAGCATCATCTAACAACTCACTGATAGCAATATCTCATACAGGAGGTAAAAGGACCCTGAAAATTCCTCCAGAACTTGCATATGGTGCAAGAGGCGCTGGCTGTAGAGGTGGTAAGTAACTATCACTTCCATCTAAATAGCTGCATAGTCCATGGAACCTGCATATTCCTGATTGGCAATTGATGGTTCCATAATATATTGGAGAATATTCTCTGATCTATTTTCTTGATTTTTGTAGGTACTTGTATTATTCCCCCAAACTCTGTTCTTCTGTTTGATGTTGAGTTCGTTGGAAAGGCTTAGCAAATGAGCAGTATATGCTCATACTCCAACACAGAATCTTTTGAAACTTGTTATCTTTTCTGCTTTTAAAGTGTTTTCGAAGGATGATGAAGGATGATATATTACTTTGCTTCTTTATTTCTGTTATGGAGGTCCTGAGATATCCTGCTACAAGATTTTCCAATTTAGGGGGAAAATAATGAAAAAGTTACCCGCTGAAGCCAGTTGACATGGTGCATGAACGGAGATTCATAAAATACTTATCCTTTTACTCAAATTTCCATTGAATTGCACTAATATTTCCATGATTACGGCAAACTTTAGAACAGTCTTTATGTGTGAGACTCGAACCCCCATCCCATATTGGAAGAAAGGAAAGGAAAGGAATAGTTATTAGCTTGGGTCCAAAGGCTACTAAAAAATTTGGGTTTGTAAATTTTGTCCAAAAGTTGCTTGGGCCAGTCTTTGGCACCGGGTCATGACAAATGGTATCAGAGTGGCCTTACATATTGCGTGGGGTGAGCCTAGTTTAATGTATTATGGTTCCGACTACGCAAAACCATCAAGGTGAACATAGACTAGTGTGTTATAGTTTCGATTTCACAAGGAAGTGCAAGGAACTGTGTGCCATGTACAAGACAAGTGTGTAGTTTGTTATGGTTCTGACCATGTAAGATCACGCGAGGTGAATCTAGGCTAATGTGTTATGATTCCAATTGTGCAAGAAAGTGCAAGGAAACGCATGCCATGTACGGGCCAATGTGTAGTGTGGTATGGTTCTGACTATGCAAGACCACACGAGGTGAACCTAGATTAGTATGTTATACTTTCGACTACACAAGGATGTACAAAATGCATGCCACGTACGGGGCCAATGTGTAGTGTGTATGGTTCTGACTATGCAAGACCATTCGAGGTGAACCTAAACTAGTGTGTTATGGTTCCGACTTCACAAGGAAGTGCAATGAACTGCATGCTACGTACAAGACAAGTGTGTAGTTTGCTATGGTTCCGACTATGTAAGATCACACGAAGTGAATCTAGGCTAGTATATTATGATTCCAATTATGCAAGAAAGTGCAAGGAAATGCATGCCATGTACGGGGTCAATGTGTAGTGTGGTATGGTTCTGACTACGCAAGACCACACGAGATGAACCTAGACTAGTGTGTTTTGGTTTTGATTATGCAAGGAAATACAAAATACATGCCATGTACGGGGCCAATGTGTAGTGTGGTATGGTTCTGACTATGCAAGACCACACGAGGTGAATCTAGACTAATGTGTTATGGTTCTGACTATGCAAGGAAGTACAAAGAACTGCGTGCCACATATAGGGCCAATGTGTTATGTTTCTAACCACGCAAGGAAGTGTAAGGAACTGCATGCTACGTACAGAAGCCACCTCTAGAGTTCGAGTATGACTAAGTGGATGTATGGGGGCCACCTCCAGAGTCTGAGCTTAAATGTGAAATCCCAACTTCCGTCCCACATCGAAAGAAAGGAAAGAAAAGGAATAGTTTATAAGCTTAGGTCCAAAGGTTACTAAATGACTTGGATTAACCACTTTGGGTTTGTGGAGTGCAGCTAAAAGTTGTTTGGGCCACCCATTGGGCTCGGGTCATGACAATTTTGGCTCTGAATTCCAATAACCAGGAAACTTATATTCTAGTCCAGTAAATTCAAATTCCGGTTTTTAAAATTGGGATGATTTCAGAAACCTCCCCTAAATTTGTTAACCGTTCACCTCACTTAATTTATGCTGAATAGTACACAACCATATAAGAAGAGTAAAAGTTCAAGGTGTATTTGAAACTAATGGGAAAGGCAAGGTTGCTATTGCATTTTGGAAGCTAGAAGCCAATAATTCTTTGTGCTACAGCTTCTAACGGTAAAAAGCAATATCACTCTTGCCTATTCCTCTATATAACTGCAAAATGAAGCTACAACAGATGAAGCTAAAGGAAATGCAAAAAAGGAAGTTATCAATTGAACTAACTAGAAACAAATGCAAATGGCTTCTTCCAAGCAATGTAGGTGAATCATGAAATTCACTAACTTCATTAACAATGTCATGAATACCACCAGTCACCATCCTACAATTATAGAGATTGCATAAAGGACAACCATCCTATTCAATGTTTAATATGGCATATGCAGGACAGTGTCCAAGTCTGAAACAAATCATATAAAACCAGCTCAGTCCAACGCCTCCGGTTTCAAATAGACCATTTTTATGAATAAGCAAGAATACACATTACCATTTATAGCTATTATAACCAGAGATCAGGAAAATATTGTCATAATTTAACACCTTTTCTATTCTAATGGTCATCCACTGCCAACATCCCCTACCTCAACTTTCATTCCTGAAAAACATGTTTGTTCCATGATATTGAAACTAGTACTAATGAACTGAACTGCAAATACTAGAATCCACTTTGATAAAGCCAAAAAACAAAATACATCACACAAAACATACTATAAATGCATTGTTGTCATTCTTTCCACTTTATGCACCAGGTAATTTAATCACTTGTCCAATAAATATAAAAACATGATCAATGACAACTATGTTTAACATCTGCAACCAAAGAATAAAATTTTCAAAGAGTTTACAGCAAAAATTTGTTAGAGACTAACCTTGCTTGAGATGTTCTTATTTCCTTGGATTTTCCACCTTTTTCGTGGTGAGCAAATCTCCTCTTCAACTCAACTCTATCTCTACTTTCCTCAATATGGCTGAAGAAGCTATATTTCTGTTGATGTAATTGACCACAGCACACCTTCCAATGTCACATCAATCAGAAAAGGGCGCCAAAATGGCGTCCTTTTGTAATATCAAAATTAGCAATTAATTTTGCATCCAAATTATCATTAAATTAGTTAATCCTTTGTATTACCGGTTTAACTAATTATGTCAACATAACTTCGAAATATATGATAAGTTATGAGGGTGTTTCCATCAAAATTATCACCATTGATGCCGCAATTGGGGCCCAATAATCCGATAGAGGAGATGACCGATATTTTGCAAACCTCTTAAGGGAGGCGAGTGAGACTGTTAGAAACCTCAAGGAAGGTTGAGCCTTGAGGTTTTTGAAATTATCCCTTCAAAATTTTTGCAGGACAAAATGTTTACTTGATATATGACATATTCGAAGGGCAAAGATGTGGTTCAAACCATATACTGCATCTGAACATCTTCTACACCTTATAAAGACAGCTCTTTTTTTTTCCCCCTTGATTCAGAGTAACTTCTTTGTTTTGGTACGTGAATTATCATTTTGCTGCTGGAATACCTCTGCTTGCATGCTTCAAATTTGAAGATTTGGAAATAAGGCAACTGGATTTGGTCATTGAAGTATATATCTAGCTTCAATTACAAACATGTGTTATATTCTGTCTCTGTTGTTCAAGTGCAACTCCAAGCAAATACAATTTTATTTCCAATTCAGCATATATTCTGATTTTCAAAGCATTTAGGCAATAGATTCTTTGTTCTGACTGGTTGGTCAGTGGATGCATGCACTTAAGATGATTCTTCCCTTTATATTTGTTGATTCCTATCAGGCTATACAAGAATTTCTTGTGCAATGTCAACTCTTCCTTATTGAACTTATAAACACTTGAAGCATATAGCGGCAACTTGCTATCAGCCAATGTTTTCTATTGGATTCTTTTGCCCGATGTCCTCTACTACTATGTCATTTGGCCTCATCAAGCTTTTAAGGTATATAACTATTTTGAGATTGAGTTCCGACTTTACTGGAACTAGAAAACATGTTAAATGGTTGATCAGTCCTGCCTTGTAATTTCACAAGAGGTAACAGCCTTTTTTTCATAATTTTTTTGGGGATTATTTGCAGATATATTACCTGGGTTCTGCCAAATTACAAACATACCATGTGACGTCAACAAATTATTACTCAAACCCCTTGAATAGCCAAATGTTTATCAAATACCCCCCTCACATTTTAAAAATGCTACTTGCATGTATCAACAAAATGTTCTTCTAAGATCCCCAAATTACCCCTTTATAATCTTGGTAAATTTACATTTACCTCTCTTATGGTTTGCTCAAATTACATGCAAAAATGGTACGATTTAGCCATTGTAGCCCAACCATTTGAGTTGCCAACATATTGTGAAAGACTCTGCTCCAGTTGGTCAACTTCTGTTGACCTCTTAAATTGGATTAGTGTCAACGCAATATTACAATATTCCCCCAGAAAAGTTGGGCCAGTTGCAATTTTGTCCTTGAAAGCAATTAACAGGAGCTTTACCCCTCAAAACAATTCCGCCAGTTACTGTCGTCAAAGTTTAGCAAGAAATTGACCAATAGCCTCGCATACTCATATATTTTTATATTTGCACTTGAAAACTACTAGTGGATATCTTTTGGATAGAAGTCTACAAATATCATAGACGTGCAGTCAAATTTTTTTCGCCTTTTGTTTCTTCTTTTCTTTAGCTTCTTGTCAAATTTCTATTATAACTGTCTAGTTTTATTTTTAGATTTTGAAAACCTGATCTATTTTTAGATTTTTTTTTTTTTAAAAAAAAAAGAAAACTTGATCTGTTTTTCATTCTTAACAATTGGATTACAGACCACTAAGTTTATGTTTATGAGGTAGCTGCAGTAGCCGTCTGATCGTCCAACGTGATTTGAAATATAAGGACTTTGTATTAAATAAAAATCTTATTGCATCATGCAATATAACTATTAGGATTATAAGTTCTAGTTGCAATTTTTTAACAAAAAGTTGTAGTACTATTGTTCTTTTTTCATCAAAATTACTCTTTATTAAAAGAAATATTCGTTTCTCCGCTAAAGACGCAAATTATACATTCAAATAAGTGTTTGTAAAGGGTATGAAAAGAAAATAAAAGTGGGGAAAATGATATTAGAAGCAAGTTGAATTGTTAAAAGTTAAACATGGTCCAAAAGTCGCAGTGATAAAAGAAAAATCCTTGACGTCAAAAATCAGATCCCTATGAAGGCAAAATACCTATTAACTGTATTCAGAAGGGAAAGTAAAACTAAAGTGAGAGTTAAACCTTTTCAAAATCGCCATTGATAAGAGCTGGACATGGACAATCTAAGTTACCCATTTGGATTGTATTTTCTGAGGAGTTTTTAGAGAAAAATTACTATAGTTTTTTTTTTTTTTTGTATGTGATATATGTGAAATAAAAAGGTGATTGAAATTGTGTAGAAGGAATATTCAAGGAAAA